CAGACTGTACAGAACAGAAAGAGGCTCTCTCTGTGTGACCTGGCAGGCTTGGCGAGCAGCCTACCTCACCCCTACTCCATTCTTATTTGTATAGTATTTCATAGCAGTAAAGAGCAAAATATGAGGTTTACCTTAGGTAGCAATGACCCTGTCATTTGAAAGTCAAAAATTTTGAAAATAACACACCAATAATCTGCCACGCATTAATTTTTTTCTTTTTTGAAAACTGCAAATCACATCTTTCTTCAAGTAAAATGTGAGACCTGCCTATGGATAAATTCTACTCTCCTAAGCCCTAAGAACCAAAGCTTACAGGAGCTAAGAAGTTTCTGAAGCACTTCAGTGCCACTTAAGTTTTCCTGAAAAACAAGCATTGCCTCCCCTGTGGAAGTGGCACACTGAGAAACACTGAGGACAAGACATAGCTTTGAGCAATGCTTGCTATTTACTGATTTTTCTGGACGGTCCTGCCCTGGAGGCAGAGATCTCCCCTCCGCCCAGGCTGCTCAGCAGGTCCGGCGAGCAGAGGCAAGGCAGGCCTCGACCAGGAGCTCTACTTACAAAAGAGTTTCAGGTGAGGAAACCTCTCCCAGAGACAGTCAGAGCACCAGTGCAGAGTTCATTTTTCTTTTCCTCCTTGCAAATTAGCTTTTGATTACTGGTCAGAAGCATCTTCTAGATAATTCAGCCTGTGTCATCTTAAGCTTTACATGTTTCTGCTCCTAAATCACACCTAGTTCTTTAGGAAGCCCCATTCACCTGTCCACAAAATAACTATTCTACACAGCTTAGAAGTGGCAATGCTAAGGAAATAAGGGTTTTCAAAACTAACCAACACTGCATCAAAATATGATAAAATTTCCCTAAAAAGTTCCTTTTTCATATTTATGAAATGGAGAAGGGCAGTAAATTCATACCACAAGGCGGGGGGCCGAGCAGACTCTCACAGGAAAGTCCAGCACCTGGGGGGTTCTGCTGTCCTCAGCTCTGCCAGGAGTTTCTACCCAGCACTTGTGGGTAGAAAGCGCATTTCTCTCAACCACCAACTTTTGCAGAACCCACCGAAAAATTTGTGAAAGTATAAACATACTGAGATCTTATCATGTACCCAAGTTAATGAGCTTAAAAGCTGATCATTAACTGTGGTCTCTGATGACAAAGGAGCCAACCAGACCTGGAAGGACTCGCCCCGATACCTGGGCGGGCGGCACAGGGCTCCTGGGCAGGGAGGCGCAGGCCAGTGGCACCCCAGCTACCAGCATGCCTGACTCACAGCCTGCCCACCCTGCCGGATGCCTGGAGACTGGCAGGCAGGCAGGGCTGCAGCTGCACAGAGAACCTGCCCAGCTGGCTTGAAATCTGCAGCCGGCAGGCAGGTGTGGCCACAAAAGGCACTTGCTGGGCTGCAGTCAGGACAGGCACAGGCAAAGGGCAAGAGGTGCCTTTCTGAGCAGAACGGGCCACCAGTGCTGGCTCTAGGACTGAGGTCAGAAAGGCTCTAATCTTCTTGTGGAAGAGCCTGCTGCCGCTCCCCGCCTACAGCCCAGACCCATGGGCCACAGACCACAAAGTATGCCAAGGAAGCTCTGGGCTCTGACCCTCCATGAAATGAATAGAGCCAACCCCTCTGGCCATGAGAGTTGCAGGTGTCCCAAAGCCTCCAACTGAGATGCCATGCACAGCCCTGACAGCCACTTCCACACTCATTCACCACGTCCCAGACAGACTCCACACTTGCCCAACCATGGGACCCCTGAACACCCTGGGTCCCATCCCATTCCCAGACGCAAGCACATCTGGGCAGATCACAGCCAAGTCCACACCAGCCTGTGGGCTACAGTAGCTCTAGAAGCAAATCACAAAGCCAGGACCTCCCAGGTGAGCAGCAGGAACTGTGTGGGAACAGTTCACGAGCTCCACATGTCTCTCCTGCTCCCAGCAAGGAGAAACTGAGCCTGGAGCACAGGTGCTGCACGGCAGGGGGCTGCACACCCCAAGCACAAGGCAAAGAGTTTGGTCCCAGGCTGAGGAGCACACAGGTAGCTGCACCGTTCTCCACCACCCAGGAGGGCATGGCCACCTTTGCCTGGAACCCATAGTAAAACCAGGCCCTCATGCGGGCACGCGCGCACGCACGCGCGCACACACACACACACACACACACGCTCACAGTTTCTCACAGATTGTTTAACCCAACAGTTCTCAACCTGTGGGTCACGACCCCTTTGGGGGTCAAATGATCCTTTCACAGGGGTCGCCTAAACATACCCTGCATATCAGATATTTACATTACAATTCATAACAGTAGGAAAATGACAGTTATAAAGTGGCAACCAAAATAATTTTATGGATGGGAGCCACCACAACATGAGGAACTGTATTAAAGGGTCGCAGCATTAGGAAGGTTGAGAACAACTGGTTTAACCTTACAAAGCCACCCTTGATACCACACTGTGGTGATGAGGCCCACAGCTGCAGAGGCAGAAGTTGCCTGCCTGCCCAGAGCTGAGGAGAAGCTCCAGGTGGGGCCTCCTCTCCCCCAGCCGAAGAGATGCCACTGGAGACTCTTGTTGAGAGGACCATTCCACCTGCGGCTCATCTCTTCAAAGTGGACAAGTTGACCTTGAGACTCCAGTTACCCTCACACTTTTAGTGGGATCCAAGGTGAGGCATCGGGGTGGGAGGCAGCCACACATGCCCTCGGCTCTGCATCTCTGGATGCTGTCCTGGCCCCACCTCCCTGGCCCACAGCAGCCCAGCAGCACAGGCTCCTACAGAGTTCACATCACTTAGACAGAACATCAGGCTGAAAGGAGAATCCAGGAGGACTATCTCCACTTTGCGATGGGAACTACCATTTTAAGAAATAAGACTCAGGAGAAAAGGCCACACCTCTGAAGGAGGGGCCTGTCGCTGGCTCACAGCAGGCTGGCACCGGCAGCCCAGCTCCCATGCTGGGGCCTGCAGGGCCATGCTCAGCCACAAGCCACCTCCAGCCAGTGTCCTCACAGTCTGTCCTCACTTCTTCCTCAGCAACACCTTTTAGGCCTGTGTCAGATACTGAATGAGATGCCGTCAATCTAAGAAAGTTTTATTATTCTGTGACAACTAATGTAAACAATAAGAAAATAAACGTTTATGCTTTCTCTCCCTAGTTACAGGACCAACTTCCAAAAACCTGAGAACAAGGACTGAAAGCGATAGGAAGGGCCTCCCCGGCCATGTTCAACAACACACAGACTGAAGTTCATGTGCTGAGTGTGGACCACAGGCCAGGGTGGGTGCCAACAGCCCACTGTGCACACCTGTGGCCTGTCTCACCCCTCTTCTCCTCTCTACAGCTACTGCTCACTGAAGACCACCAGCCACCAAGCCCCTAGCCAGCAGTACCACCAGAGTGGCTGATGGGGCAAGGACAGCTAGAGGTGCGGCATGGCTGCTGTCTGCCCCGCCCCAGGTAGGCCTTTTCTACAAGGCACCCTCCATCAACACAAGCACCCTCCGGCTGGCCATTCTGCTCCAGAGGGGACAAGATAGTACCAGCAGACACATTTACAACTTCCTCAGAAAACAAGCTATCTCCCTGGACAGGGCCCGACCCTCATGTTCCACAGGCTTTGCTCTGATGTAGGAATCTAGATCGAGAGATACAAGCCCACGTGCTGCACTTCCAGTGTTCCCAGACCCTGTTAAATATGTGGGGAGAAGCAGCAGTGAGAAGAGAAGAAAACCCCAGCCACTCTCTTGTGCTTACAATGGTCTGAGCCTGGACGGACAGCCATCCTCACAGCAACCACACGCCCTGCTGCTGCTCACAGTGCATCCAAGGCAGAGGGACGTGGAACACCAGGGCTGAGCCTACTCACGATGCATCCACAGCCAGCTCTCTGCTCCCAGACCATGGAAACAGTGCTGAACAGACAGAGGCATCCTCTCTAGCTGGTTCAGACTTATGTGTTCTAATGACCTTTTCAGGCATTTCAAGAAGAATTTGGGGTGCCACTTCCTTAAAAGGATATGGGAGGCAGCTGCCAGGACCTAGGCAGGGCTCTGAAATCTGTTTTCCTAGTAAAAGTTGTCCAGTGCAGTACTGGTATAAAATCGTGCGATGACTCAGCTGTGGACTCCCACACCATGAGGAACACTGACGTGAGTCACCTCACTCTGGAGCCTCCACTGGCTCCTTAATAAACATGAAGAAATGAAGCACCTGCCTTCTCCAACGCAAAAGAACCTACTACAGTCCAGAAACACAGTGTCAAATCAGTGAACTAAAATTTACCCAAGAACTTACTATAATGAGGACATATTTATTCTGCATTTTTCCTAAGCAAAAAGTATCAGATCCAGGTTGGCCTGGACACCTGTGTGGGGCTTGGCTGAGCACATGCACCAAACACCCACGTGGGTGCCCCTGCATGCGGACATCCCTATTGACTGTGGTGGCACAAGGTTCTAGCTTCTAGAAACCATACAAAACCAGCCAGCTTTTCAATTCTTCATCAGGAATCCAGAGGAAAAATCATTGCCAACACCTCACAAAGTTGCTTTGAAGTATTCATTTACATTTCAAAAGCACTAAAAATAAAGTGTGCTAGCAAATGTTGTTCTACTGAACACTCAACTGCTGGTCCACAAAAATTAGAAAATTAAGGCCCCTCAATGAAAGCAGACACCACCTGACGTTTCCTTTTCCAGCACATCCACCATAGTTCAGAAAAACTCTTAAGAAGATAGACAGTTGAATTTCCAAAATCCACCTCCCAGCCAGACATGGCAATACTCCAGGAATCAGGGCACACGCACCTGGTTACCCACATACCACCAAGGCACCAGGCATGCCACGCAGGACCCACTAACCAAGGCCATGACACGCCAGTGGGAACTGCTCACGCAGAGGAAGGGACACCACCCACTCCCATCTCACGGACCCTCTTAAACCCACCTACCTGCAGGCAGCTGTTGGTGCACCACCCACAAGAGAAGCACCCTGGATTTACCTTGAAATCGCAGTCACAAAGGGAGTCAGCTCCTGAGGCTCGTAGGCACGTGCGAAGGCCCAGCACACGTAGCATGCGGCGTCCCTGACATTGGCACCCACACTGCAGGCACCTCTCTTCTCCTCGTAGATCAGTGCCTTCAGGATCACAGGGACAACTGGGCAGGAGACAGAGACTGTGAGAAGCAGCCACATAGGTAACACTGCAACGGTTCAGGCAGCCACATGGCTCAGGTGGCCAATGCTTGGGGCAGAGCACAGCCATGGCACCAGATGAGGGATGCAAGGTGTACAGAGTCAACCCAAAGTCACCCTCAGTGTCACTGCCTTGTCAGAAAATAAACTCAAAGCAGGTGGAAAGATTTTTTTAGCAGTTCACTTGAAATTACACAAAGACCCAAAAGTTCTTTCCATGCAGCACAAGTGGGTGCCAAGGACTCTGAGGAGGTTCGAGAGATGCAGCACACCCAAGAGAGGGCGGCAGTGTCACAGGGAACCCACCCACTGGGCCCACAGGACATGAGCCCTGAAGACTTAAGAGACAGGTGAGCTCATGGCCTCCATGGACAGGGGCCTGGCTCTGGCCGGGGCCAGGGGTGGCAAAGTAGATAGGGCGATGACGCCACGTGCTCCATCATCCAAAATATCTGCAAAATGGTACATATGGGTCATCCAGTTCCCCTTGAAAATGTATAATTGTGGAATGTGATGTTATACATGTGATTTCTGATGTAAAGATATGACAAAATTTTAAGGCATGTGGTGAGGGTATTGGAATGTTTAAAGAAGCTACAATTTCACTTTATCTGTTTATCAGGTTCATGCTGTGTATTTCAGGTACTTTGGAAGGGTTTACTTATTAAAGACATCTGCATTACTTAAAAATAAAGTTTGACACAGAGGTTTAAACAATTAAGGGAATTTAATCAATTTTATAAGTGAACCAAACACTAATTTGAAAAAGCCTCTTAAAAATGATAAAAGGGGGCTTGGTGCCTGTGCTCAGTGGCTAGGGCGCCAGCCATATACACTAGAGCTGGTGGGTTCAAACTCAAACCAGGCCTGCTAAACAACAATGACAACTAAAACCAAAAAATAGCCGGGTGTTGCGGTGGGCACCTATGGTCCCAGCTACTTTAAGGCTGAGGCAAGAGAATCGCTTAAACCTAAGAGTCAGAGGTTGCTGTAAGGGCAACAAAGTGAGACTCTGCCTAAAAAAAAAAAAAAAAGAAAGAAAAAAAGATAAAAGGGGCTCAGTGCCCATAGCTCTGTGGTTAGGGTGCTGGCCACATACACCGAGGCTGTTTCGAACCTAGCCCCAGCCTGCTAAACAACAACTACAACCAAAAAATAGCTGGGCATTGGGTTCTAGAAACCATACAAAACCAGCCAGCTTTTCAATTCTTCATCAGGAATCCAGAGGAAAAATGATTGCCAACCTCACAAAGTAGCGGGCACCTGTAGTCCCAGATACTTGGGAGGCTGAGGCAAGAGAATCGCTTAAGCCTAAGAGTTTGAAGTTGCTGTGAGCGATGCCCTGGCACTCTACCCAGGGCAACAGCTTGAGGCTCTGTCTCAAAAAAAAAAAAAAAAAAGGAAAATGTAATAGAAAAACAGCTAAAGAAAAAATTTATTTTGCAACTCAAAGATAAAATATTAATTTTTTAAAAGTTGCACACACCAAATGAAATGTTCTAAAGTATCATGATAAAAAGTTCCAACCTACTGATTCAAAAAAGACAACTATGTTGCCATAAAGCATTATTAAACTTAAATGTGTTAAATACTTATTTAAGAAGGAAGGGGAACAAATATGTCCCCAGCCCTGGGCACTGCAGCCACCTTGGCAGAGCTGCTTCTATTTGAGGCAACGAACAGACCACGAACACAGCCCCTACCAATTAGGAAGTCAGCACGGCTCCTACCCCTTAGGAGGTCACTCCAGAGCACGGCCAGGGTCATGCCCTCCCATCAGCACACACCCCATGGTGTCCCAGCCACAGGTCACACACAGCAAGAGGCCTCCAGAGCAAAACCAAGACTAGCAGCTGCCCTCCCACCCCCAGAACAGGCCCATGCTGCAGAGACTGTCACAGGACTTGTGCACACACTGAAGCTGGGAGATGACCAAGGGGGCCGTCCAAGCCAACTGGAAGGTGGGGGATCAATTACTGAGCAAAGAAAACAGAAGGCAGCTCAACAGGTGGCAGAGAGACAAGGGAGCACAGCGACCCTAAGGCTGCAGGAGCCCTGCCAGGTGCCACTCGCCAGCACACAGCTTCTGCAACCTCATGCCTTCCCACCTAACCCAAGAGTCCAGGTATGGACACATGAGGTATAAATTATTCACACACACCACTGACAGCATACAAATGATCATCCACAAAAAGACGTCTAGAACTCTTAGGGAAAAAAAAAGAAAGAAAGAAACTAGCCGGGTGTCATGGCAGGTGCCTGTAGTCCCAGCTACTCAAAAGACTGAGGCAGGAGGATTACTTGAGCTCGTGAGTCCAGACTCCATGGAATTCTAGGCAGGGCGACAGAGCACGATGCTTTCTCAAAAACAAAAAACTCACAAAAAACAATTGTAGGTCTATAAATACTATGTACAAATTTACTCTCCAACTTTTTGCATCAAAGGATTTCTTTACTCTATATAAATATCAAGAAAAATGGACCTGATACTATATAATTTATATACATATGTTGATTAGTTTTGACCATAAAGTTTTTATTGATAAATTTATAAAAACTACATAAATAAAACTTTCTCCAAATAAAGAACTCAAAGGTATTGTGAGTTCAATTACATCCACTTTCCAATTACATCCACTTCCTTCAGAAACTGCCCCTCTCGGGCTCGGCGATGGGGGTACCTCCCTGTGCAGAGACCGTCTAAGCCCCACTCAGGGGGTAAGGAGGGGCCAAGCAGGGCAGTCCCCACACACCTCCTGTCCTCAGGACACCTCACTGGGTGTGCCATGGCTCACAGTGTGTCTTCACCATGCTGCTCCTGCCATGGCCCCACCATGTGCGTGGGTACCTTGGGCTTCCTTACCTCTACCCCCAGGCTGCTGCCTCTCTCCCTTCTCTGATGCGCTGAATCTCATGCTCTCTCTGCCATGACCCCACCTGGTGGGCCCTGCTCCCCAAGGCCCCCTTCCCACACAAGGACAGTGCTGGTAGCACCAGGAAACTTCACCAACAAGAGACCCTAGAGCTGGCGAGTATCTGCCTCCCGAGTCAACAAGCCAGAAGCTGTGCTCCACAGTTTGTAGAGCACTCACGGGTCCTGCAAACTTTCTAACAGTAATGCTACCAGCTGGGCTCATGAAGCATGTGTAAAATACTAAATCAAACAGGACAGCATCATTGGCTGCTGCAGAAAAAAATCACTAAATCTGATAAGTGAATTTAAAATGATTACCTCAGCTCGAACTAAACCAAATCTGTAACCTTTAACAGGTCCTCAGCTGTTTCACCTGAAAACACGCTAGTCTGTTTGGAATTGCTCCCAGCCTTCTATACTGACTGCTGGTACAACCTTCCGTGCTAAAAGGGAACCCATTTGTGGGCACAGACGTCAGCACTGACAGGCTGTGGCCCTGTCAGGAGGGCACCGGCCAAGTGCAGCATCGCCGCCAGGCAGGTACCCGAGAGGCACCTGACACCTGCCCAGACAGCTCTGGGTGAGACCACTCAGCAATTCCACAGCCTCAGGGAAATCTGGACACTACCTGCTGAGTCCCAATTTATTGGTCCACTGGACAAAATCAATTTCCAGACAGCTCTGAGTGACAGTGGTCACTCAGCCAGTTCTGCTCATGGAAACAGCTTGGTTGCCATCCTGAGCAGCTACTACAGCAGACAGACCTCCCACCTCCACACCCCTGGTCCAACCCTGGGAGGGGAGCCTGGGTCTCTGTCCTCCAAAGGCCCACTGTATCAGCCAGTGTCGTGAGCCAACCATGGGGGGACACACACATCACTGACTCATATCCATTAGTGGGTGTCCGCTTCAACACACAGGGAGGCATTCTCACAATCTGACCAGCACTTATTGCTGGGAGGTCTGCCCAGCCCACTTCCCTGACATAAGGGAAAAGCCTGTTCACAAGAGGGCGATAGGCTGTGCTCGTGGGTAGCTGCCTAGCCTAAAGTCTCTCAGGTGCTGGACTCCATGTCCACAGTCTGCTGCGGCCACAGGCCAGGGGTCCTGTGCTGATCCCCGGTACCGTCCTCAGGTCTCCGTCCAGCTCGGAAACGGCACATAACCCTGTAACACCCACAACCCACGTGGTACAGGTGAAGCTACAAGGCTGACAGAGCCTATAAGGCTCTCCTCACAGAAAGGGAAGGAGCCTGATTTGCACAAAGTAAAAGCTCAAAAGGAGAGATGAAGGGGGACAGGCTTCTCTGACAAGAATATGGAAAATGGGCCTTTGGGCTCTGATTCATCCCAGGGAGGGCTCAGATGCCCAGCCCCTCCTGAGCAGCCCCCCATGGCCAGAAGGTCCAGGCTTCTGGCTGGACACCCACAGAGCACCTCAGCAGCCATAGGGCACTTGGGCAATCACAGAGCTGGGCGGAGACAGACTTGAAATATAAACTCCTCTTTTGCCCTAAATTTCTATACAGTCATTATCAGAGATAAAAATTTTAAAAACAACTCTTTCCAGATTCAGCACGTTCAAAATAAGGAAACTATTCAACAGCTTTAAACAAAACCCTTTCTCATGGTTCCAATCATAGGCTACAGATGCATGTCAAATACACCAGCACCCCAGAGGGCTTCCTTTTGGCAACAGAGCCCAGCAGTGTAAGTCAGATGCCCTTCTCAAGAGACAGGGTGTCATTTGTCACCGCCAACCGCCTAAGGAAAAAGCCGCCTCCAGGTAAGAGAAACAGCTTAACCCTCCAGGTGCTGATCCCCAACCGCAGGGGCTGCCAGACATTCTCACTGTATGCAGAGACCATCTATCTGTGAGAAACCATCGTACAGGACATCGTCTGATAACCGATGCAATTTACCAATTTTAAAAGCCAACATCCCTTTCAGGCATAAACTGGATTGTGTTGGATCTCCGCAGGTGTACCTGGTTCAAACTGCCCCTCGTTGGACTGTCTCGTTTTAAGCTGTTTGGTAAAGGAAGCAGGG